TTTTCCAAATATAACAATTATTTTCATGGATTTAACTCTAAATATTGGATTCAGTAACATAATACAGTAATATGTATTATGTTATTGAAACCAGGAGGCTGTACCCTTTGTTTTGCTGGAATCAGTGACTGACTAACTAATTTTTCTACAATCTTTGCAATGTGTTTATATAAAAATTGTTGATGTATTCCATTAGCCTAATGGAATATAATTGGCGATTTAAAGTTAAACATTCACCTGCAAAACCCATTGAAAACAATTGACACAAAATTTCTGCAGAATACCCAGCTTTCATACTTTGTCAATCTAAGAAGGCCAACTCAGATGAAACTGATCCTGGAATTTTCCCACTCACACATGCCATAGAAATTTGTATATATAATATTGTTATGTGTTTGTGTGTCTGTCATAAGTCACGTACTAAAAATAAAAAGAGAGGTTAGAATAAAATGAGCATTAACATTTTAAAAAGTAACTACTGATTAAAATTAATTGCCAATAAAATTCAATTTATAAATTCCTTAAGTACATATATGAATATGTGCTCTCTCAACAAACATATGGGCACATGGAGGCAAAGACTTTTAAATATGATCTCCTCCTTATAGAAGAAACAACCAAAAAGAAAACAGCTTCAAAATAGTTTAGTTTAGTTTAGTTTTGGTTTATTTGTATGCCGCCCTTCTCCAGGAGGGACTCAGGGCGGCGAACAACTCAAAGGGGAAAGGGAACATTAACAACAGTACACATAATTAAAATACACGAAAATCACACAGCCATACCAGTCGAGAGGGGAGGGGAACTCATCAACCCCAGGCCTGCCGGCACAGCCAGATTTTGACGGCTTTCCGGAAGGCCTGGAGAGAGGTGAGGGTCCGGATTTCCGCAGAGAGTTCATTCCAAAGGGCCGGAGCTGCTACAGAGAAGGCCCTCCCCCGGGTAGTAGCCAGATGGCATTGGCTGGTGGACGGAACCCGGAGGAGACCGACCCTGTGAGATCTGATGGGTCTTTGGGAGGTAATTGGCAGCAGGCGATCTCAAAATAGGATGAAAGGAAGGGATAGCTGCACTGTAAAGAAAGAGAAGATGGATAAAACTTGGATATAGGTAGAGCTGAGGAAGAGATAAAATCAGGAGGCTGTAATTACAATGAAATAGTTTTGCCAAGAAATAGTAGATACTATTAAATACTTACATTTTGTAATGGAATTATAATTTTCACTTCTTTATAGTTTAACTTTTTTTAAAAAAATTGAATGTTGTAGTTAAATTAAAATCATATGAGTTTTATTTCCTTTATGTATGTGTAGTTCAGGAGAACACTCCCAATGACTTAATTTTTAGCTTGCCCTTATATACCCCCCCCCCCGCCCCAATACTTTCATTGTCAATATGGCAATAATTTTGGTACATTCAATTTTCATTATGCATCCATGTTACATACTTAAAATCTCACAGAAATGGGGAAACCTTGGATATTGAAGTGTGAGAATATATAACATTATTGAACCATATAGTGACCTATTAACACAACAAAAGTGCAAGAAAAAGAACATTGTTTTCCTTGTAGCTCTCATTCCTTACTGGATATGGATATATCCTGAGACTGTTTGGTGGATTACATTTTTGTAGAAATGTATAAGAAATCTGCAGAAACCGATTGTGAGGCTAATGAAGACTGAAGGTATTACTATTTCCAAAGCATATAGATCAAGTTCCACAATTGTTTAAAAAAGATCCTGGTTTGCCACACTCTTTTGAGTAACTTTCACCAGAAAAAAACATAAGAGATCATGGTCTATCGTTTTCTCCAGCAATATTAAGATCATTACAGAAAGATTTAGACCAGGTTCACTGTAAACAAACTAAAGATTTTGATATACAGCTAAACCCGCCACTATAACCATTCATCAAAACTTGCTTCCCTTCTAGTCCGTAGTTAGGGGAATCAGTTTTTTCATGTTTTTCCTGCTTGGTGAGAAATATATAATTTCCTGCACTTTAACTAGTCTCCCAGAAAAGACTAAATTGATAATATTCAATGCTCTCAATATTGAGAGATTCCAGTTATGCAGACAAAACAATTTTAAGCTGAAGTTTGTTCTGTGCCTTCTTATAGAGCAGGGGTGTCAAACTGGTAGCCCTTGGGCTAGAAGTGTCACACACAGGCCATGCCACTTCAGCTCTGCGAATGGGAAAAAAATCATGTGATGGCAACATGACGCTGTGGGTTTAATACCCATGTTATAGAGTGTAGAAAATCATAGAGAAATATAGGTATTGTCTGTAAAGACTCCATTAATTGGTGAACCAAGGTTTGGGACTGTACTGCTAATTATGCAAAACTTTCTACTGGGGAATTTTCATTTTTAACTAAACTTTGTAACTCATAAAATGCTTTTTGCACTATTAAAATTTTGTAAAGTTTAAATTATTAAATCTGAGAGAGAGACTCACTGCCCATTTTGCAGTTTAGTCAACTATCCTTGGGGTCCATTGTTCATTCTAAACAATAGTATTATTTTTACATATATCAACATAATGAAAAGGGTTTAATGTTTTTCTTAAATGAGTTACCAAAATAAGAATTTATCTAATTAAATGCCTAAAAAGAAATATTTGTTTGCTTAGTTTTTAATTTTTCTGATATTGTTTGAGACCCATTTATGACAATTTAGAGCAAAACTTAGCATGAATATTTATGCTTTTCAGATAAACATTCTAATTTTTTCCATTATGTGAATTAAAAAAAAAATTCTTGTGTTTGTTTTTGTTTTTATTCATACATAACCTATATACTTTTCCAATAGTATTTATTTGGAAAACTATGTCATATATTTCAAAAAAAGTGCAACTATTTTAAGAAAATTGATTTTTTTTCATGTACACTTCTAAGCATATTTGAAAAAAATATTTTTTTCCCAGCATTACTAAATTATCATTTGATAGAAAAATTCAGAGACTCCACAAAGGTTGATTCCTCACTTTATATTGTGGTTTTTAATTACTAAAGGGAATTTTGAACTATTTACAAATAAAATGGAATAAGTTGCAACTTCCTTTAGAGAAACAAGAAATCTATTAGTATTTTAATATGAAGAAACACTAATTTGAGTAAAAGTCAAAGGTTAATCTTTCAAATAGCAAATTCTTTGTTTTTTTTAATTACTAAAATACATACTAGGACTCAAGTAGTCATAGAAATATTTTACTATTAAACACCACAAGATGGCAATGTTGCAGTTACTATATTCTCTTGCATTTTTAATTGCAAACTTTACATTAATTGTCAAACTTTAAATTAAGATGAAATAATTCTCATTATTCAAACTGGAAATTAGGTAAAATTAGGTAATAGGTAGGTATAAGAATAGATATATTCCAGATTCTATTAGATATACTCTCACCTGTGCCAGTTATCTTAGCCAATTAGAGACAGTGAATCTTCAGAAAGCCTTTTTGTTTCCACGATGTCATGTGCAACCTTCAGCCATCCTGGACGGCAAATATAAAGGGATAACATTAATTGAAAGACTCTGTTTTTGTGATTCTGGAGAGATTGAAACCTCTGGACATGTTCTTCTTCACTGCTCTCTTTATAAAGACATTCAAACAACATTCATTTTCCTGATAATTAATAGGTGTTGTGGCCATTCCAATACCATTCAATGGTTGCTTAAAGATGAACAGGCCATACTCACAGTGCAGGTATAGTATTTTTCAGATTATAAGATGCATCTTTCTNAAAAACCACCCAACGCACAAACTGGAAGTTTGGGAACGGACTTCTGGTTTGCGCATTAGGCCGTTTTTTTGTGCTCCGGAGGTTGAAAAACGGCACTATGGGCAAACTGGACATCACCGTTCCCAAACTTCTGGTTTGCCCGTAGGGCTGTTTTTCACCCTTCGGAGGCTTTAGGGAAACATCCTTAAACCTCTGGGTGGGATGTTTTCGCTTTCCCCAGGCTCCTAGAAAGCCTCTGGAGCCTGGGGAGGGCGAAAAAAGCATGCCAAAAGTGGGAGGGAGGGTGCTGGTCATGCGTGCAGGGTTGCGCGCGTAACATTATGGGTCTGGGCATGCCCATGCAAGACCTCCCCTGTACTCCCCTGCTTCTTTACACTTTTACAATTTTCTTTAATCTAGACATAAAGTTAGCATGGCTTATGTTCTTGATATTGAGAATAATACAGCTTTAAAAAAATTGAGTCATGCTCTTTACATTATTTTGCTATAGTTCTAAACAATATGTTTGATTTCAATTATATACATGGGTTGATAAAATTATTTAAAGGAGTTTCATGTTTTTATAATGTGTATAATCCTGTTGTCAATTGTGACTATGCATGTACCTGTGTTTCCCTGAAAATAAAACCTGGTCTTATTTTGGGGGGGGGGCAAAATAAGCACTAGGGCTTATTTTTGGGATTGTCTTATTCTTCCCCCCCCCCAATGTACAGCAGTCCCACTTCTGCTTACTCATGGCGGGGCAGGAGGCCATGCAGCATGCCAGCGCCTTTACCACAAGGCAGAAGGAGTGGAGCTATCCCACGCATCCCACATTGGCTTACCTCAGGGCCCCAATAGCCAGGCCAACCACACCCCAACACCTGCCTTGCTTCAAGGCCGCAGCCAACCACTCAGCCCCCTCCACTGCGGCCACAAGCAAGCAGAAGTGGGCCAGTGGACACGTGGGCTCCTACTGCACATGGGTGCTATCGCTGCAAGGCAGGTATTGGGGCTTGGATGGCCTGGATGTGAGGACCCTGAGGTAAGCCAGTACGGGGTGTGTGGGGCAGCTCCACCCCCTTCATCTCACCTCATGTTGGCGGCAATCAGACAGAAGGGGAAGGTGGCCAGCTGTGCAGGCACTTAAGTAGGGCTTATTTTGGGAGTGGGACTTATATTAGACACAAATAAAAAATCGTGCTAGGGCTTATTTTGGGAGAGGTCTTATTTTTTGGGAAACAGAGTAATTAAATGTTTTTTCATCCTTTTATAGGTGTACCCAGGACTGATGGTGACAGCTGGCCTTATACATTGGATTTTGAATATGCTGAATATAACTGTCCACATAAGAGATGTATGTGTGTTCCTTGCACCAGTTTTTAGTGGCCTTACATCAATTTCTACTTTCCTGCTTACCAGAGAATTGTGGAACCAGGGTGCAGGGCTTCTAGCTGCCTGTTTCATTGCTATTGTACCAGGTTACATATCACGATCAGTTGCAGGATCTTTTGACAATGAAGGGATAGCTATATTTGCACTGCAGTTCACATATTATTTGTGGGTAAGTACTATTATATACATTCTGCTTACTCTTCTTAAAATTTGAATATGCACAATAGTTTCAATTTGTTCTAATAGTCAGTAGAAATAAATATAGCTAATAACAGGTTTTCTATTCCATTGCTTTTCCTTTCAAAATAAAATGAATGAATACATATCTTTAAGATACAGTTCAAATATTTTTGTTGCATGATCAGTTGATTTTATAAGGTCTTTTTCTGATCTAGCAAAAATGGTAAATTCTAAAAAACATTCAAATAGAATATTTTATATTTGCATGATTTGTCTTTTCTGTTATAATTAAAACTCGGACAACTTTCTTAGGTGAAGTCAGTGAAAACTGGATCTGTTTTCTGGACCATTTGCTGTTGTTTATCCTACTTCTACATGGTAAGTGGTAGAATGTGAATGTGTAAATGGTCAGATTTTTTATTAGTACGCTGCTTTTATTTATATATTAAATATTAGCACAAGTATTTTAAACTGGTTGAAAATTCAGATTTCATTTAATTTGAAACAATGCTTTAACCCGGGGGTGTCAAACTTGATTTAATTGAGGGCCGCATCAGGGTTGCAATCGACCTCAGAGGACCGGGGGTGGGGCATGTGCAGGGGATGTGGGCATAGCACGGGACTTGGGGGGGAGCATCTGTGATGGCCAAGTGCTAAGGCAGGACTTCCCTGAGACCTTCCCTCACTCTCATACAGGTAATCCACTTATGAATGTAATAGAGCCTGCCAATTACATTTGTAACCCAATGATTCATTTGATTGAATCATGTTAAATGAACATGATCACTCCCTGCTTTTCCTAATGCATTTGTTAATCAAATGCACATGAGGTATCTCAGAGTGGGGAAGAGCATATAGGCCCTAATGCTGCAGCAGGCCATCCAAGGCCTCCCCAATCCACTGAGATACCTCATGCTCTCCTGGGGTGTCCACAATAGCTTCCACCCACCCACCCACCCTGCCCCTCCAAGTCCTCACAGATTGGGCCTGCTTTGCTAGTGTCCCAGATTCCACTTACTCTTCTCCACCCCATTTCCCACGGATTATTTACTTTTTGAAGATCTCCAAAGCTCCAGAAGACGCTGACCCACTGGTAGAGAAGCTGTTTTATTCAGATAATGGTGAAGCTGTAAGAACATGAACTCTTAAGGAAAACATTTTTTGCCAGCTTCTGAGTAAAAGATTTTGAGTTGAGGCCAGTAGGCCTCTGGCAGTAGAAAAGGTCTCCTGCTTCAGGGATTAAGGCAGCAACAGCATCCAATCAACAAGGAGCTTTGTCTCATCAGGCTGAAATGCAAGCCCCTTGTTGATTGGTTGCTACGCCCCAATTCCTGAAGCTGCTCTTTCGAACTAGCCAGTCAGCAGCAAGCAGGAGGCTGCTGGTTGCCTGCCAGACTGNTTTTCCTCCCCAAAATCTAGGTGCGTCTTATACTAGGGCCTAGGGCCAAATTATGTCCAGGGGACGCAGGTTGGCTATTTAAGAGCGATCGCGCACTCTGACCCTCATTGCCCCTCTCGCACCCCATGGTGCTCGGGATTACAGGACCCGGGTCTCCAGCTGGTATCGCTTAATGCCAGGTCCGTGGTACATAAGGCTCCCCTCATTTACGACCTCATACAAGAGGGGAGAGTAGACCTGGTGTGCATTACGGAGACATGGTTGGGCCATGAGGGGGGTGTTCCCCTCATTGAATTATGCCCACCAGGCTTCCGGGTGTTTCACCAGCCCCGAGAGCCCAGGGCAGAGGTGGGAAGGTGGCCGTGGTTATTAGGGAAAGACTTGGACCTCAGGAGGTCACTGTCCCTCAGATAGGCAGGTGTGAGTCCCTTTTTGTGAACTGGGGCCTTGGAGTCCAGGTGGGCCTTTTTGTTACGTACCTGTCTCCCTGCTATGTTTCATCAGCCCTGCCGGAGCTACTGAATGTGTTAGCTGGATTGACGGTTGATTTCCCCAGGTTTATGGTCCTGGAGGGGATTTCAATCTGCCTTCCATTGGCAAGACATCCGAGTCAGCTCTGGAGTTCATGGCTTGCATGACAGCTATGGACCTCAGTTAATTCAAGACCCCACTCATAACAGGGGACACATGCTCAACCTGATTTTCGTCTCTGGACAGTGGATGAATGATCTAGATTTAGGGGATATTTCTATCCAACCCTTGTCATGGTTGGATCATTTCCTCCTTAGACTTGACTTCCATACTGCCACCCCTCGCTGCATGGAGGCAGAACTGATTAGATGGGTCTGCCTCAGGTGCCTGATGGACCCTGAAAGGTTCCTGATGGAGCTTGGGACTTTTCCTGAATCCCTTGTTCACAGTTCGACCGAAGGTCTAGTGAAAGCCTGGGCTTGGGCGGCCACTGGGGCCTTGGACTGCATTGTGTCTTTGCGGCCTCTGATCCAGTGCCGATCCCGGGTAGCTCCCTGGTTTACCGAGGAGTCCGGAAGATGAAACGCCAAAAAAGATGCCTAGAGAGTGATTGGAGGGCCAGCCGGTCTGAATCCGACCGAACACTAGTAAGAATTCATATTAAATCCTACTTGGTGATAAAACTGGCAAAACAGAAACATTTTTCTGCTCTTATCGCGTCCACAGAAAACTGCCCAGCCACCCTGTTTAGGGTGACCCGCTCCTTACTTAATCAAGGAACTGGCAAAGACCCCTTGCAGGGTAGGGCTGAGGAATTTGTTCTGTATGTGCAGGATAAAATTGCTCAGATTCGGACAGGCATGGACTCTGACGGTAGATTTGGGCGAGTCGCCGGGGATGAATCTTGTGAAAACTATCTGGGATGAGTTTGACCCTGTGACTCCCGAGGGCATGGACAGGATTATGGAGAGACTGCTGCCACTTGTGTGCTGGGCCCGTGTCCCTCTTGGTTAGTTTCAGCTTCCCGGGAGGTGACACGAGGCTGGCTCCAGGCAATTACCAACGTTTCATTGAGAGAGGGGTTCTTTCCCACCATCTTGAAGGAGGCGGTGGTGAGGCCCCTTCTTTTTTTTTTTTTTTTAAATATATTTTATTCATTTTCACATTCCATTTGCAATCACTTATATACAGGG